TGAAGAAGTGTCCCGACCCGAAACGTCAACTTTCCTGCTCCTCTGATGCTGCCTGGCCAGCTGTGTTCCTCCAGCTCCACACTGTTATTTCTGACTTCAGCATTGGCAGTTCTCGCTATTTCTGAAGAAATTAATCTAATATATTTGTGCATAATTAAATTCTATTTCTTATACTGATTTTTTTTTCTCACTGTCGTTCTGTTTTGCAGTTGAGATTTTTAAACAAATCACCATTCCATCTGTGTTTATTGGGGAAGCATCAGCTAAATATCTTCTGGAAGAATTTAGCTATTTAAGAGGGTAAGTAGTATTTATTTTTCTTAGTCCTTTGGCCGTAATTTTGCCTGAAACTTTTAAACTGAGCCTTGAAAGTAAAGTAAATTTTTGAAAACAAAATCTTATTCTGATTAGTTAATTTCATACCTTTTGGAAAGTTATGAAATGTCTGGTTCTGTTAGTGTTTCTCTACTGTCATCAGTATACTCTTATTTCTTCTTTGAACATTGCCAACCTATATGGTGATCCTGCCCTCTGCATCCTTACCATATAGCAATAAAGAAGCATTGTTTTACCTCCTGTGTTAATGTTCTTTCACAGGATCTCAAAAGTACAATCAGTATGTAGACATTTAACCTCCAACTTGACATTACCTAATTACAGCCTCCTTTTCCACCAGCTTTTTCAACTTTGTCCAGCATTATGGTTCAGATTTATTAAACTTCAATTATGGAGGTGAATAGGTATGGAAATGTGACTTGTATCTTTTATTTAGCATCCTGAGTTATATTTATAATTTATAATTTATAATTCTCCCATCCTTTGTTGCAGACGTAGGCAATCCAGCTTCTTGAGCATGCTCTCCCATTTAAAATGATCATGACTGATCTCATTTCTGCCTTAACTCCACTTTCCTGCCCACTCCTCATAAGCCTTTTAGCCCACTACCAATTTAAAAACCTGTATATCTCCTCCTTTAAATTTATTCAGTATCCTGGCCTCCACTGCACTCTGGGTTAGCAAATTCCATAGATTCACAACCCTTTGAGGAAGTGATTCCTGTTTTAAATCTGCCATCTCTTAGCCTAACAGCTTGACCTGTCATGCTAGACTGCCCACAGGGGACAGCCATCTTCTCTGTCTACTTTGCCAACCCTCTTTAGCATTTTGTGTTTAGCAATTAAATCTCCTCCCATTCTTCTAAGCTCTAGTGAGTCTCTGCTTAAACTGCTGCATCTCTTGTAAAACAAACATGAGAAGTGAGTGTCATTAAGATCTGGAATGCTCAATTTTGTGGGAGGTGGGATCATATTCCACATGAATTTCAATTTGACATGTACTCTGAGAACTGACTTAAGGGTTTGTGGTCGAGATGTTTGCGAAGTGAGGCCTAAATCCAAGAGCTCTTTCAAAACCCTAGCACAGACAAGACAGCCTGAAAGCCTAGTTCTGTGATTGCTAATGAATGTGGATGGTTTCCATGTTTCAACCCCTATGTAAGCATTATATTAGCTATATCGTCTCTTCAAATTATTTGGAAATAATTGAAGAAAACACTAAATATATAGCAGTATATATTTTTAAATTTGTTACATGTAACTATATTGTTGCATCTGGTCAGAAATTGTGGCCCTTTCAGCAGTTGTTAAATGAGGCTGCCAACCCTGAAAAGATAATCAAGGTGAAGTGTTACACAGCTGAAGAATTGGTGGATATGAATTTTTTAGATTTAGATTGGGAACTGGACATTTACAGAAGGTTAATTAGCTGCACATCCTCTAGTGAGTCTGAATAAAATGAGTACTATTGGCTACAATAAGAATAGCAGCCAGAGACTGGCTGTTTGGTTCATTTATTTTCAAGTGTCTAAATTTGTTTTTAGTCTTTTGAAGGACTTCAAAACTTGTACAACATATTTACCAAATCAGCATTTATGATCACATGAAATGACCTAGAAGCAGCCAATACAGGAAGCAGGAAATTTTCTTGCAACCATATGCTAAGTCTGAAAGGCAGTTACGTATCTCCAAAACCTATTTCTAACAAAAACATCTTTTAAAAAAAATTAACATGGTGCCTAGTTTTTGTGGGATGTAGGGAATGGCAGAAGAGCAAAGAGGGTAGAGGTGAAGATGTATAATATCCCTGCAGCTATATTATTACACGTCAAAGTAAAGGACACTTTCATAATAGGTGAGTGACTATCAAGAACACCCAAACTCTTTCTCAAGGAACTTTAATATTAATCATAAATGTAAATTATTTCTGTCACATGGGTAAATGGAAAGGGGATGGCACCTTTTGCTCACTGAGTTGAGTACCAGTTCTGCCATGAAATAAAACCTAGTCATAAGGAATGACGTTGATTAGAAATTACAGCCAGTACCCTCACCTTGATAAAGATCATGTATTCACCCCATTCATTGTCCCACACACCCAGAAAATGTTGCATCTTATAAAATCCTTAAATGTAGATTTGGCTACAGATTCAGAAAGGGCAGTTACAGTACAAAATTTGGTGATTTGAACCCAAATGCATGTTACACATTTTTTTATTTTGAATTTTTAATTGAGTTCCCTCTTTGTTTGAGGAGGATTCTATTGCCATGAGATTTCTTTAATATTTGTTCAGGACATATGGGAGTCACTGGAGGGGCCAGCATTTACTGCAGATACCAAATTGTCCTTAAGGTGCTGATGAGCTGCTGCCTTGATCCTTGGCAGTCTTGATGAGTTGCTGCAGTGCTTCTTGTAGATGGTACACACTGCTGTTACTGTGTGTGTAAGAGCTAAAGATGTTGAATGGGGTACCAATCAAGTGGGCTGCTTTGTCCTGCATGGTATTGAGCTGCTTGGGCATTGTTGGAACTGCACTTATCCAGGCAACGTGAAAGTATCCCACCGCGCGCACATTTGTGCCTTGAAGATGATGGACAAACTTTGAAGGAGGTGAGTTAGCCACTGCACATAGCTAATTTAAGATGATTTTATAGTTGCAGTATTTGTATGCCTAGTCCACTTCAATCTCTGGCTGATGCTAAGATCATGGCCACCTCAACTTTGAGAATATTGAAGGTAGGAATTTGGTGATGGTAATGCTATTGACTGCCAAGGGGAGATGGTTAGTTTCTTCTTTAGGATAGTATTGCCCAGCACCTATGAGGCATGTATTTTTTGGGCCAGTTATCAGCACACGCCTGGATGTTGTCCAAGTCTTCAGATGCAGTGTAAGTAGTGCTAAACATTCCGCAGTTATCAGCAAAAAAATGCATGCCAGACCTTATGATGAAAGCAAAGTCATTGAAGCAGCTGAATATGGTTGGATGTTGAGGGATTCCTGCAATGGAGATTTCCGCTCCCCGCGCCCCCCCAAAAAAAAAATCCTTGTGGGTCCTTGATGTTGCAGGCTGATTGACTGTGGCGAGGCATCATTGGCAGCAAGGTTAGATTTTGTTTGCCAGATCTAACCTTTCAATTTCCAGCTGGGGCTGCTGTATGGAAATAGGGAGATAGGATACTGTCAAATTAACCCTGCAATCACCACCGCCTTTCCGAGTTTAAATGATACAGAAACCATGTCTTTAACCCCTATCAGTGTTCTGGCTGAAACGAGAATCATACAGCACAGGGGGTGCCCAAAATGGGCCATCAGTTCTATACTGTTTCCAAGAGCAATCTGTGAATCTTACAAAATGCTGCTCTCAAAGTGGATATTACTCGAAGTGTTTGTTAAATTCTTTCACCACCACCCTATCTAGAAATAGATTCCAAATTCTAACGACTTGTCGCATAAAAACATTTTTCCTGATATAGCCTTCATTTTATTGGCCAGCTATCTTAAATCTGTATGTGCCCTCAGATTATTACCCCTTTAGTTTGGGTAAAGTAATGATGTTACTTAACACCAATCAAAGGTTATATAGTTTAGCAGATGGATCCAAATTGTCACTTCTGTTAATTTTTATTTATTTCAGTATTAGTGTATTGACATTACATTTGTATAGCATGGCAAGCTCATATGAATGCTTCTGAAATAAGTAGTGACTGCAGAAATCCATAAATTCATTGGCTACTGCGAAAGTTGAAAGGAAGGGAAAACAAATAACTGATGATCTGATCAAGAGTTGAACTGCATCAAGCAGTTTTTCTTTTGCCTTTGTCAAAGGAACAGAACTTGAATTTATCTGGGCTTGGAAAGCTGCAGTGGTGTTGGAGAGGATTTTTTTAAGACATCTTGCATGCTTTGATTTTCCTATGAGCCATGAAATAATAACACATTGAAATATGCATTTACTAAACCGTTTCCTGCTTGATTTCTTCTGTTTTAACAAGAAAACAGAGAGACAGTACATCAATTGCCATTGAAAGCTGACTGCTTTTGCATCAAAAATGATTGTAGAAGCTTTTTTCTAATCCTAATGCAGATAATTTTAAAGTAAGAACTAAACTGAGAGCCAACATCAACAGAGCTGAATTTGGCAAAGTTCTGGTAATATTAATGAAAGATGTTTGGATATTCTAGCCTTGCCCAAAATAGCTCGCCTTCAAAAGTCTTCTCATTGAATAAATGCAGTTGACGATTTCAATTAAATATGAGCAAATGTTGGAACAACTAAAAGGTTAATGGTACCACATATTTTGCAGTGCCATAGCACAAGAGAACAGAGCAGAGGTTGATTCATAGCTGGCCGCATAGCCATGCATGCCCCTCAACCATTCCATTTTAACCTGGATGATTTAAAAATAAACAGCAGTGTGGCAATAACTTACATTGATTTTGCTGGCAAAATTTATTTATTTGTTAATGAAACAAAATGCTCCTCATCAATCATCAGCCCAAATTTCACAATTTCAATGCACTGCAGGTTGAATAGAATTCATCAGAAGTGGTGAATTCTAAAGTTGTTGGCTAAGCAATTGGCATTGCCTGTTAAAATGATATGTTGGCCAACACCACTAAAATACGCTGAAGCCAGTTGATTTTCACTGACCTAAGTTTGCTGTTCTTTCTTACATGCTGGAAACACCTGTTGGAATATCACAGGTATTTATTTAATATGCATTCTTCAGTTTCTATTTGGCTATTTCCCCGGCCATTGGCTTCCTCTGTATACTAGGTTTTAGTTTTTTTTATGGTACCTTTTTCTAAATTAGAAAAGTAAAACTTGAATTCTGATCTTAAATCTGTTGAGTCAAAACTTTAATATATTTTGACCATTTCATGAAGCTATCTTTCAAAGCAACTACCAAAAACAATTTTGAAAACCTTATCACAATTTGCACGCCAGTTTTGGGTGCCTGCCTGTCACAGTTACATCACAGTCTAACTCTAGTGTAGTCACCGTGACATCAGACATGGTACTGATACATGTTCACTATCTTGTTTCATCAGGACAAATGGTCACAATGGTTTCAGTTCATAAATATCAGTTTATACAATATGCTCTTCCTTTTTTGTGCAGCTGTGATGTGTCAACCTCTGCTGCCTACATCACTGCTAATGTAACAATGTAACCAACAAACCAGTATGATGATCATTGTTGTTATGTGTATTCTAGCAGCATTTCTCGAATTATGCTTTGATGGCCATCATCAGTTACGGTATCGTAACTATCTGCAAACATTCTTTGTTATTGTGTTTCTCCACAGTGGCCATATAGTGATACTACCCGATTTTAGCCTTCCATTGGAGTATTATCTAATTCCATTCCTCATCATTGTGGGAATCTGTTTAATCCTGATTGCTGTTTTTATGGTATGTACTAATTTATACTTAAATGTATAGTTAATGCATTATGACAATGTTGGTGTGCCTGAGCTGTTTTGAATATGAACCATAATGAATAACTTAGCTGTACCAGATTGGGATCACTGTCCGTTGACAACCTAACCTATCCCAAGGGGAAAGTTAATTCTATTGAATCTATATTGGTGGCAAAGCTATCAACATAGCACATGTCCAGCTAGACTTGAAGGGCTGAATGGCCTACTTTGCTTTTACATCTTAGGGTCAGTTCTGAGCAGGTTTCAAGCTCCGTATTGGTACATGTATTTGCAATTTTAATGAAAAAATACTTTGTGTAAAGATACTTATTGGGAAGTTGAATATTCAAACGCCAATTTTACTTGTGTAGCTAATGATAACATTAAATGTGCTGTCCTTTGCACTTTATTCTTCCATGCAATATTTAGTACCTGTGTTAGACCTCGAAGGAGAAATTAGTTTCCAACTTTCCATTTAAATATACCACCAGTATACTGTATAATGTTTTAACTTTGCAAGTGAGCTATTCATGGGGGCTATTTGAATGGGAGTTAAAGAATAATATTTGGTACGAAGTTTTGTGCTGTGGCTTGTTCCGTTTAGGAACTGAGTTAAGTATGTGAAAGATGGTTACCTGGATTTTGCAGTCAGCAGCAAAATGACAGCATTCACTGCTGAGTTTGAAGGAAGCTGACCAGAAAGATCTAGAGATTCTGCATGGATTTCATCTTTCCTGATGTCATATTCATCCCAATGTCAATTTGAGGTGATCTCTGATGTCCAGAGAGAAAAAAATCGAGCAGTTTTGACAACCAGTTCAATTAAAGAATTTTCCCCAGACAGCAAGCCAAAATATAAAAATCAATGTTTATTTTGCCACTTTGCAGACAGTGAAATAAAGATTGAACCTACTTGTGGGATTAAGGTAATAGATGAACTACGAAAAACCTTAAATTTAAAACTGGATGAAGAAGTTTGAGATTTTACAAATTACATTGGTCAGAGATGATTTAATGTAATGAACTTGGTGCCCCACCGAAAAAACTCAGTTTCACTTCAATCAGCAATGCCTAACTACTTAAGGATTTTATGTAACTTGGGCATCGGAATGGAGATTTATATTTGATTTATGATTGTTTTAAATTTTCAGGGACTTCAATAGTGCAAAAGTGTCATACAGTGCAGAAAGAACATTCAGCGTATTGTGGCTATGCTTTTTGATAGATTCATCCCGTTCGCCCCATCCTACCTAAAATAATACTGCTGATATGTTAAATCTCCACCAAATGGCTCACACCTTGGTTCTACTTGTAGCTATTTGTAATAAATCCTTTCAGACATATTGTGACACTCCTCCATGGCAGGTGGGGCTTGAACCCAGATTTTAGTGACGGCAACATTTGTGTTTCTGCGTGTCTTTGCACTTGTGAAACTGACAGCAATTATTTACAATTGTAATGACAGTGGGCACAATTTCGATGTAGTTTCAGTTGCGCAATCCCAGCCATTAAGATTAAGGTTCTTAACAGAAAGTTGATCTTTCAACTCCATTTGTTCTAAGTTGGTAATCTTGGTTCCAGGAGGGAAGAAAATAAGACATTGCATTTATATGGGGCCTTTTATAATTTAGGGATATTCCAAAGTTTTTACAGTCAATAAGTGATCTGACAGCATATTTGCATACAGCAAGTTTCCTCCCATAACCAGCAATAATACTCACATCTGTAATTGGTAGCATTTATTGAGCGAGAACTCTAATTTTTTAAAATTTGATAATTTCAAGCATGAAAGATATTCTAGTCCACACTAGAAGACACAAGTATCATCCAAAAATACTTATTATGACTCTTGCTGCTTTCCGCAAGAAGATCTAATATTGGTGTAACTAAGATTCCATTCTAATCTGAAAATGCACATAACTGTGATAAACAGATTGATCTTTGATCTTTTTGTTATGATTTGAACTACTTGATTAGGTTAAACCCCTACCATCGTTCCCACCTACCATTTATTCAGTAAAGATATACACTTCTGACCTGTAAATGATTTGTAGGTAATTCAGATCTGGATATGATTACCAGATAATAAATTAATTGCAGTAGTCAGATTAGTTAGTAATCTATATACGATATCTGTGCATCTCTGGATAAATCATAATTACTTTCAAGAATCTAGTATTCCATAAATGATTGACCAAACGTTAACATGACTCGTATACAAAGGAAGATTCCTGTGCCCTAACAATATTCAATAATCTTAGCTAATTGAAAAAAATTAAAACTGTACTAAGTGTTCATTGGAGCATATAATTTCCATACCATAATTTGAGGTTCTTAGATCTAGTTCGCCACTTAATGGGTTGGTTGTTGCAACCAAACCTGAGACTTGGAAACTCGCTCCTTTTAAGTTCAATGTTTTTAAAGAAGGAAAATAATTCATTGAGTTTTTGAAACTGATATTTAGCAAATGATTCTCTATTTAAGCCTTTAATTAATATTTCAAATGTTAATTGGCTTTCGGGCAAACCTCATTCACCTCAGTCAAAAACAAATAGGTTAAACTAAATTTTAGAACAATATCTTAATGGATGTTCACTTTTTTGATTTGCTTAAATTTAAGTATTTGGAAATAAAGTTTAATGTTCTGCATGAATAAATAGCTATGTCAAAAAACCTTTTCGAAAAGTTTTATTAACCGATCAGATTCTTCTTTAAAAGTGCTATTAGTTAGCACTTTTTTTTTTTTAAAAACAGAAAACTGAAAGAACTGCGGATGCTGGAATATAAAAGACAACAACAGAAATTGCAGGTCTGACAGCATTTATGAACAGATAGCAGACTTAATGATTCTGAAGGAGAGTCTCTGGACCCGAAACATTCGCATTGTGTTCCTGTGAGTGTGAAGGGCAAGACTGGTAGGTGTAAGGAATGCTGGATGACTGGAGAAATTGAGGCTCTGCTCAAGAAAAAGAAGGGGGCATGTATCAGTATAGACAGCTGGGATCGAGTGTATCCCTAGAGTATAAGGGCAGTAGGGGTATACTGAAGAGAGACATCGGGAGGGCAAAAAAGGACACAAAATAGGTTTGGCAAACAAGATTAAGGAGAATCCAAAGAGATTTTACAAATACATCAAGGGCAAAAGAGTAACTAGAGAGAGAATAGGACCTCTTAAAGCCTTAGAATGCATAAAATTAGATAAATCCCAGGACCTGATCGGGTGTTTCCCAGAACTTTATTGGAAGCTGGAGAAGAGATTGCTGAGCTCATTGCTGAGATAGTTGTATCATTGACAACCATAGAAAGGCTGTAAGAAAAAGCCACTGGACTCTCGACTGGTGAACTTTATGTCAGGGGGCTAAGTAAGTTGTTGGAGGGGTTTCTGAAGGACAGGATTTACATGCATTTGGAAAGGCAAGGACTGATTAGAGATAATCAGCATGGCTTTTGTGAGAAATCGTGTCACTAACTTGATTGAGTTTTTTGAAGAGACCACAAAGCAAATTGAAGGCAGAATAGTCAACATTGTCTAAATGTACTTCAGCAAATCATTCAAAGTTCCACATGGTAGACTGGTTAGTAAGGTCAGATCATGAATGATCTGGGGGAGCTAGCAAATTGGACACATAATTGGCTTGAAAGTAGGAGACAGAGGGTGGTGGTGGAGGATTGTTTTTCGGACTGGGGGCCTATGTCCAGTGGTGAGCCACAAGAATTGGTGCTGGGTCCACTGCTTTTCTTCATTTATATAAATGATTTGGATGTGAATACAGGAAGTATGGTTAGTAAATTTACAGGTGACACCAAAATAGGTGGTGTAGTGGACATTGAAGAAGGTTGTCTCTGGGTACAATGGGACTTTGATCAGATAGACCAATAGGCTGAAGAATGGCTAAAGGAGTTTGATTTAAATAAATGAGATGTTGCATTTCGGTAAGGCAAACCAGGGCAGGACTGATACAGTTAATGAAAGGGCCCTGGAACGTGTTGCCGAACAAAGAGACCTAAGGTTGTAGGTGCCTTGTCCTTTTGAAAGTGGAGTTGCAGGTTAACAGGGTAGTAAAAAAGGCTTTTGGCATGCTTGCTTTTATTGGTCATAACGTTGAGTATTGTAGAATCTCCGCAGTGTGGAAGCAGGCTGTTCGACCCATCAAGTCCACACCGACCCTCCGAAGAGTATCCCATTCAGACAAACCACCCTACTGTATCCATGTAACCCTGCATTTCCCATGGCTAATCCACCTAGCCTGACACTAAAGGCAATTTAGCATGGCCAGTCGACCTAAACCCCACAACTTTGGGCTGTGGGAGGAAACCAGAGGAAATCCATGCGGACATGGGGAGAATGTGCAAACTCCACACAGACAGTATAGGAGTTGGGATGTCACGTTGAGGCTGTACAAGGCCTTGGTGATGCCACATTTGGAATACTGCATACAATCTGGTCACCCTTTTATTGGAGACATGATGTTAAACTTAAAGCGCAGAAAAGATTTACAAGGACGTTGCCGGGATTGGAGGGTTTGAGGTATTGGAAGAGGCTGAATAGACTGGAGTTTTTTTCCCCCTGGAGGTCAGAGGCTGAGGGGTGACCTTGTACGGTTTGTAAAGTCATGAAGGGCATGGATAGGGTGAATAGCCGAGGTCTTGTTCTTAAAGGTGGGGGTAGCAGGGGGAGTCAAACTAGAGGACATAGGTTTAAGGCAAGGGGGAGCTTTCATGCAGAGGGTGGTGCATGTATGGAACAAGCTACCAGAGGAAATTGTGGAGGTGGGTACAATTGTAACATTTAAAAGGCATCTGGGTGGGTATATGAATAGGAAGGGCTTAGAGGGATATGGGCCAAATGCTGGCAAATGGGACCAGGTCAGATTAACAACATTCTGGGCTCAATAGTGAGTTCAACACCTTCAGATTAAACCCACCCACTCCCATTCCTTCCCTTTCTCTTGGCTTGTTATATTCCGTCACCATGCACGCTCTCCCCTCCCCCACTCCAGTGGGACTGTCTGTTCCTTCCAGTCTGGCAGGTAAAGACACCATTGTTCTGCCATTCGCTCATTCCAATCACTTAATCTGCATTATCAGCATCCTTTTTCCCCCAACCCTCCCACCACTATTGGAAAAATGCTGTCCCCTCCACACTTCACATCAGCTCAAATGAAGAGTCATCTAGACTCAAATTGTTAGCTTGCTATCTCTTCATGGATACTGCTTGACCAGCTGTGCTTTCCCAGTGTTTTTGGTTTCAGTACAGATTCCACCATCTGCTGTAATTTGTTCCTCCTAGGTCAGATTGGGATGATTTGGACAGAAAGGTCATTTTTGTGCTGTATGACTGACTCTGCAACTCTGATTTCTCTCCTCAGATGCTGCCAGACCTGCTGAGTTTTTCCAGCAATGTTTACTTGGCTTTTTTTTTTAAAGAAGGCTGCTGGCCAGAGTGGTTACAAAAATAATAAGTCGAGGAAATTGCGTATTCAATTAAATTCATTTCCCCAAAGGCGATCTCCCCAGTATCTAGCCCAAAGAATGGCAAACTGACCTATGTGCTATTTAGACAGGAAAATTCCCCCATTTCCCCCCCTACTCATTTTGTGGCTAGGTGCTTTGTACACGATGTCATCAGATTTTCCCCATGAAGCTGACTCAAAATATTTAGATTATAGCACTTTACTTGTCTTACACCATACTCCAGTGTTTACTTTCTCGGCAACACTCAATGCTTACTTCCTCAGCAGCAATGCAGTATGAAATCTGATTCAAAAAAATCTGAAATATTTGCAAGTTTTATATTCAATGCTGCACTTTGGTACAACTACTTCAGGAAGACTAACGTGAATATCCAGACATTGTTTATGTAAAATTATGGTAATATAGTACAGCTGAAATATATGTAAGATAAGCTGTATAGTTGCATTTTTTGGCTTGGTGAGAGTGCTGTCTAGAAGAATTGTGCGAAAAAAGTACTGAATGTTTTCATGGAGCTAATATAGCAGGTATTTATGTATGAGCCAAAGAAAACCATATGACATTGTTAATTATGCATGATGTTCATGCATTTGTTAAAGGGAAATTTTGTTCACTGAAGTTGCTGCTTGAGTCTAAGTACTTCAAATCTTTACTTACTTATGACATTTTCACTTCTTCCTATTCTCTTCAGTTATTGCTCATTAGAGGCAAGCAGGAAGCAGACATTTTGTGTACAATTTCTTCCTCTTGCAATGTGAAGCAACTCTGCTGCAGTAAATATTGTAATTAAGTCTTGCTTAAAGTCACTGGCCTGGAACTTCTGCTTGATCACTGTCCAATCTTCTTTTCCACGGCCAGGAGAATCACTGCAAGAAACAACAGCAGAAAACACCAACCATTGACCTGCTTAATGATGTCAAGGTTGGGAAAGGAGATTTTGTAAAAATGTCTGTGCCTATATGTCTCTAACCTATTTTAGCATAAAATGTGGCAATTGAGTTGTTACAATATTCAGATTTATTTGACCTGGTAGTTCTAACCTCTCCATTTCTGGTTTCTTTAAAAATGTGTAAAATTAAAAAGGACCTCCATTTATATAGCCTTTCATGTCATTTGGATGTTCCAAAGTATGTTATAGCCAGTTAAATACTTTTGAAGGGTGGTAATAGATATAAATGTAGGAAATAAGGCAGGCAACTTACAAAAAGCATGCACCCACGAACAGCTATGAGCTAATGACCAGATTTTTTTTTTTTAGTTTTGTTGGTTGAGGGATCATTATTGGCTGGATCTTCCCTTCTAATGAGGGGTATATGTCAGAGAGCTCCACTGATCATCTTCAGAATAATGCATTGCAATACTTTTTATCTCCACCTAAGCAGGTAGGTAGGCCCTTGGTTTAATTTTTCATTGGTCGAACAGTGTAGCACACCTTACATAATTGCATGGGATTGTCAGTCTAGATTTTTACAATGGAGTCTCTGGCTGAGTCTCAAACCTGAGACCTTGAATTCAGGAGGTGAAAGTGCTACCACTTGAGATAAAAGGCCCACTCTGAAGATTTGTGTTATCAGATGGTGTGGTGGAGTGGGGAAAAGAACATGAGGATGATCACAGTACGTAACTTTTAAAAAGGCTTTTTTGCTCTGATTTGAACTTGCCTTCCCATCTCGTCAATCAAGTGTACTGTATCCAATATCGGTTTTGTATGTCTATTGCTTAATGCTCATTGACTTCTTTTTCCTTGCACACTTTTATCTTTGCCCATTTTCTCTCTGAATCTTTTTCAAAGCTCTGTCCAATACATGCCTGTTGCCCTTCCCATTCTCTGCTCTTGTTTTTTTCCCCCCACTGATGTTGAGGCACAGCATCTTCAACTGTCCAGTCTAATTAGTCTTGGTCTAAAGCCACCTTGCCTTGCTGCTTCACTTCCTGGCTATGAGGCAGCAGTGCTAACCACTGAGCCACTGTGCTGCCCCTAACACCTACTGGTTGTCCTGGTATTTATTCCCTAAACTTTTGATCAACATATCATTAAAAATCTGCTTTCATTGTTGTATGTGGGAATTTGCTTCCCACAATTTGACTGCAGTAGCTTTATATAATGAGTGCATCACTTTGCTGTGAAGTGTTAGGAGGTAGTCTTAAGATTGTGAAAGGTACCAATTAAATCCAAGTAAATGGTCTAATGCTGCTATTTCAAAGAAGAACAAGGGAATTATCACCAGTGTTTTAGTCAATGTACATCTCTCAATCAACATCAGGAAAACACATTACACATTATTGTCAGATAACAAGGTGGAGAGCTGGATGATCACAGGCGAAGCAGCATCAGAGGAGCAGGAAAGCTGACATTTCGGGTCTAGACCCTTCTTCAGAAATGGAATCATTATTGTCACATTGGCTCTGAAATGCTTTGGGAAGTTCTGGGGTCATGAAGGTGGTGCATGAATGTGATAACAAGGTGTAGAGTTGGATGAACACAGCAGGCCAAGCAGCATCAGAGGAGCAGGAAGGCTGACGTTTCGGGCCTAGACC